ATTCATCCCCATTATTTGTTTTCAAAAATAATTTAACGACAATTTTTAAAGTATATAAAAGAGGAATCTTTTTCATGCTCTCGGCCTGCATCTAAGTCAGGAAGTCTTTGATTTCGAGCCCATTTTCATCGATGAAGGGATGGTTTTTTTAAATGTTTTTTTACACTGGTTTGCTGGAAAATATTAGTACAAGACTTTTGGGGCGCTTCATAACCCTTTTTTCTAGTAACAATTTTTAGTTTAAACTGTTAAATCTCAGGACCCATTTTTCTACGTAAATCTGAAGAATAAAAATTTTACCGACTTTTATTTTCATCAATTATCAATGCAAATATTTTTGTTTAGTAAAAAAATGTATAATTTTACCGTTCTAAACCTTCTCTGGAGCCATGTTAGTTGCCAAAAAAGAAACTGGCCCGATCGGTTTAGCCGTTTAAACGTTTTTTGGATTTATTTTGAAATAAAGAGCAATATTATTTACTTCTTAACAGTCTGGATATGTGTACATAAATCTATTTGTTTTGCGTGACATGATTAGTAACAAGAAATTGAATTGAAAAGTTGAGAAAAAACATTTAATTAATAATTTTTTAATTGCCGCTTCTTCAATCGATGTGTAAGAAAATTATGTTTTCCATGTTCACATTCCTTAAATGGAATATTTTTAAGTAACATATGCTTTCGTTCCCAAGTACGATACTGAAGCACCTTTAACTTAAAAAGTTAATTTTTGCAGACCTCAAAAATATCTTGACAAATAAACTCCTATTCCAAAGAAAACAAAAATGCTCTAATCACTATATATTTGTAACCTGCTAGTGTAAAACTTTGATGTGTCACCATTTGATCTACCATAATTCATAGTTTAAATCATATAAGGTAACGGTATCGGATATAGGAATTTGAAAATTGGAGTTTGTGGCAAAAACTTATTGAACTAGATTAGACTTCATTGTAATCTTTAATAAAAGTTCCTACGCCATGATAGGTTCCAAAAATAGGTTCCGTGCATGCTAAAATGCATTGGATTTGAAATATAAGTATTCAATTATTCAAAATATTTTTACAGAGCGAAGTTCTATCAAGGCAAGATAGTACACGTCAAACTAAACTAAATTGTACGTTAAATATTGAAATTTGAAATCTTATATGTTTTCAAACAGAATTCTTCTTTTTCAACACCTGTTAAAAAGACCAAAATTGTTTTGAATTTCTAATATTAACCGGATAAATTGGTTTTTCAAAATTGTGCGTAAAGTCAAAAGAAGAGGAGCTACAAGGCCATAAAGTCGCACTTGTAATGTCGCATAAATCTGACCGTCTCCTTCTGTCTACTTAACTGTGAGAATAGATTCTTGCACAATTTTTTTATCTATAACTTTGAGCACTTTGCACTTTAGACTTATCAAAATTACCTGTACTCAGTGCTCGCTTCAGTTCAAATTTGCAAGTAACACAGTGAGAACGACAAAACAGTTCTGTTTTCGTCGTTTTTTATCTAAAAATGTCGCTCAATTGTTGCACAATATATTAGTTAGAACTTGTTGCAACATTTATTATTTAGAACTTGTTGCAAAATGTATTATTTAGAACTTGTTTAAGTAAAAAATATAAAATTTTGACCTCTGCAGTTTAAAGAATTTGAAATTGATTGCAACCCGCCTCTCTTAAGGTCTTTAAGAGATGAGAAATGAATATAAATATTCCTAAGTAAGAACTTTATATGACAGATACTGGATATGGTATATGTAGATGCACGTTATACAAAATACAGGTGTCATGTATACCGGACAGATAAGTCGATGTTAAACAGGAAATCTTTGTGTTTTGGTTGTTAAATGGAATTTGAAAACATTTAATAACAATTGTTGAGTAATCATATTGTGTGCTTTTTATTATTAAATATCATACTCTAAGTATTTTGTGTTTATTTAATATTCATAATTCAATTTTTAAAGGGACAGACCGGCTATGTAAGGTAGTTAAACTGAGTATGCAGTGTTGTGGACAATTTCATTAGGATTCATTTGAGACATATAAAACTTTTTCACGATGTATAATTACTGAGTTTGAGTGCATAGTCGACGTTCAAAACCATGAATTTGGGTGGGTACATTTTCAGAATCGGTTTTTTTTAAATTATTAAATAACGACGACGTAAAATAAAGTAAAAAGTATACAGTAAACTAATTTGATGGTTATAAGGAACATATTTCTCAAAAGAAATTATAAATAAAACAATGCTCGAAACAATTATTTTGTTTTTCATCAAAGCATTATATTGAGCTTTTTACTTTCTATGAATTTATTCGCAGATTTCTACAATTTCTTCAAATGTCGTCATTTCAATAAAAAATCAGGAAAATCTGCAGAAAATCTTTGTGAAAAATGAGAAACTAGAATAATGAAAAGTAGAAACCAATATGTGAACAAGATTACTTATTTTCGATGATAAGATTAATTTTCATTTTCTCAACCTGTTCCTAAACAACTAATTAGTTTGCTGTAGAGTTTTGTTAACATTTTTGTCGTCGTTATTTAATAATTAAAAAAAAAACAATTCTAAAAATGTATTCACCCAAAAGTACGATTTTGAACGTCGACTGAAGCTCAGGATTTACAGATCTTTAAAAAGTTTTATACGTCTCAAATGATTCTTAAAGAATTTTTCCACAACACTGCATACTCAGTTTAACTACCTTACATAGCCGGTTTAAGATAAAATGACAATACTGTGTTTAACGAAAAAATATCGAGATCAAGTGTTCAATTAACTAAACTCCACACAAATGTTTCGACCTGCACAGAATTGGCTTTATAGCAATATTTTCATAAAGCTTTTAAAACTTTTTAGAAAAATTAGTAAATGCTGATTTATGATTTCAGATTTATGAAAAATGCAAAAGCTAGTTGTAAGTACAGTTGGGTTTTTCCTTCTCATATTATTAGGTGAGTATTCCATTTTGTTTCATCATGTAATTTTGTTTGATCAAAAGTAAAAAATTTCGGGATAACTTTTTATCTTTCTACAGGGTGTCCCAATAAACATGGGAATTCAGAAACGAATTCGATATCGTCTTTTTAAATATTTCTTTGAGTTTCGTCTGCTATGTTCACATTTTGTTTGTTTTTGTTTTGACTGCATACGGTTGTACTTAGTAAAACATGATAATTGCAGTATACAAACAGAGTAAACTTGTCCGTCTTCACTGTTCATCTTGCAGAGACATTATAGACACACCTTTACAGTCTTTTACAGATAAACAGAATGTTTGTTTAGTTGAGGGAAATCCTAGACAAACGTCATCAGAGGACAAACTTTTTGATTTAAAACAAGCAGGTTTAGTAGGTAAGAAAAGTCTGCATGAATATTAGAAATCATATGCTCACACTTTCGTGTAGTTAAACCCCTGGTTAGGATTGTATTTCAACTCCTGTGGCTGAATTTAATGAATTTGAGCGGCGCTTTAAATTTAAGCCGCGGTTTAAATATGGTTGACTCCAATTAAAATTGTATTAAATGTTTCAAGATTTAAGCCGGCGCTTAATTTAAACCGGATTTTGGCGGATTTAAACCGCGGCTCAAATTCTTTAAATTCCATCTCGGAGCGAAAAAAGTAAATCAATAGACTCTCCCCAAAGGTCGGCTTGTGCAAAACTGAGTTCAAAAATGCTAAAAAGGGCCGTTTTCTTTTTTTAAAATTAAATAAATTTTTACACATTGATCTAAATTGACTAAAGTGGTGCAAAAGATTTCAATTTTTTTGGGAACTCCCAAAATCCGTTAACATTAAATAAAACAGTATCACCCTTATTTAAATGTTGAATAAGACATTTTATGCTAAAAAAGGATTTACATTTTTGTCAGTTTTACACGTTAAAAGTATCCCGGAGCACATTCATCTAAAGTTTATTAAAGGGACTGCAGTAGACTTAATTTAAGTGATTTCCCATTTAATAAGTGGTATGCTCGGTTTGTAATGGTACCCTTTAAACCTTTATTCGAGTCAGGAGGGTGTAGTTATCCTTATTCTTATAGCAGACATGAGAGTTCCAAGAGACTTATGGTTAAAGTGTACTCTTGTGTTGAACGGTCGCTAATTTCCTTACTTATATATGGATTAAATAGGTTTAAAGAATTTAAATAAAGAAAATAAATAATTTAAAGAAAATCCCAAAGCACCCCTTTCAAGTATGGAAACAATTCTTCTTATCTTATACTCTTTCTTTTAAATGTATTAAACCAGTTCTTAATTCTGATTTGAGTCAGTTCTTAATTCTGATTTGAGCCAGTTCTTAATTTTTTTTGAGCTAGTTCTTATTGATTTATAATTTCAGGAATTGAAGTTTATGAATCCTTGATAGAAGATTTGTCTGAGGAGTTTACTATCGGAGGAATAACTATCTCCCCCTCGCTAGTTTACATAGGAACAGTACTCCCGGAGAATGTTATAATTCACTTGATACAGAACGCTTTCAACTTTATTACATCTTCAATAGCTTGGGTTGCACTCATGGTGGTTACACAGGTAAAAAGATTGCCCACCATTTTGAAAACACAAGTATTACCCAGTTTATAAAATTCTGTGTAAATGATGCCCAAACCTCACAGAGTAAGAAAAGGGTGTTTGAAAATAAATTTCGGTCTGGGTTGACCCTCTTCAGTTCTTGAGATTTGTTAAGAACTCAAAACAAATTCAATACCCAATATTTCCGGAAGTTGTCATACAGCTGAATGTTCAATGCTGTTTGCAAAAAAAATCGCAAAGCTTTAACTTGTGAATATCTAAGTTTCTATGTAAATCGATTGAAACTTGAAAAGTTTGCACAATAGTTTTTGTGATTGAACATAGAAGATTCTGGGATAAATCTGATCTGTGTAGATTGCGAAAGGAAATGAGTTCTCTCTTAAACTCTGATTTTTTAATCTAATCCATATAATGTTCATAACACGATATCAAACTACAGGCCTTTGATATATCTGTACATATAGGTCTGAAAAAACAAAGGTTTTAAAATCAGATTGAAAAGATGTAGGAATTACAAAATTAGATTTAAAAGCAAACACTTTTTATTATTTCTTTTATTTTTATTCCATTTGATACTTTTAATGACTCTAATATTATATTGCTATGTATTAAAAGAACCTTTGTTTTATGGATTTTGCAAACGCATAATCTGATGTAAAGATATTTAAAACTCTGTTTGTTAAAGAAATAAAAATACTAACTCTAGGACAATTGAACCAGTTTCATACTATAAAATTCATGATTCGTTTATGGGATATTTCGTTTTAAATGTCGGTGAAATTTTTTTGAAAGACTTTTTTTATGAAAGTTCACATACAAGAAAATGCATTGAAGATCTTATATAAAAGTGATTTTGTTTAAATGGAACCCGGTTTTCATGAAAAAAAATGTATATCTGGAAAACTTTCAAATTATTTAAAAATCAGATCTTATATTAAATCTAGAAAAAATTATTATGAGGTTTATTTGCAAAAAGAATTATTTTCTATAAAATAATTCTTGAAAATCATACAAAGCATTCTCGGAAAGTGTAATAATTTCTTTCCTTTGAAATATTGACAAATCCATTATGATATCAAATCTAAAATTCAATGCTGAGAAGAGAAAAAACCAATATCGAAAATTAATAAATCATTTTTAATAAAAAATGGTTTTTAATGGTTCAATTGTTATAAGAATATTTTTAATAATTGGTTTGACTCAATCTAATATTTTTACTTTTTGATTTGATTAATTTGGCCAGATTCAATTTCATTCAACAAATCGATTTTATTAATTTCAATGTATATATTTTCTTAATTAATATGTAAACTAAAACAGACAATCACAATAAACAAATTTAGTTGTCATACATAATCTTCATGGTTTCCAATAGAATCCGTAAAATTAAGAATTCTTCTGTTAGGTTTTATCTAGGGAGTGTATTAATAAGATATGAAAGTTTCAACGATGGAATTCTTTATTAGATGGACCCCCACCACCATTTTATACTCATACATATCAACAGTTGTTTTTAATCTCCATGACAGAACCAATCTCTAGGAATAATAATTGTCTTAAAACATTCTTTAAAAAGTGAATTTGCAAATTATCTTTTTTCCATCTCATGATATGAGTTCGTTTCCCTTTTCTCCATTTGACGGCCCATTTTTTTAAAATAATCTTTTAGTATCTTTTTCTTGTGGTTTTTAACATTTTTTTATTTTCGATTTGAATGGTTATCGTTAGAACTGACGAGGGTCAACCCAAACCGATATCTATTTTCAATAAAATGTGGAACTAAAATCTACTTTATTTACTCTACGGAGGTTTGGTCCATACCATCATCGAATTTTAAATAAGATGACGAAACTGGTTTGGAAGTTAAACAATACGAAAAGGTTAATTTGCGAAATAAATGAAGATATAAAAATAAATTTTTCAGTAAGTAAATTGGTTTAATGATATACATGTATTCGCCGTGCTATTTTAGTAAATATGTTGGCTAATATTAAAGATAACAGGTTTAAAGTACCCGGTTTATCCATTCTCAATATTTTAAGTTTCCCCGCCTGGTTAATGGTGATGGTGTATACCTTATCCAAACTGCGGTCACATTGTCACTTTCATTTAATCAGTAATTTGAACTTAATCCATTTTAAACATTTGAAAACTTAATTGCTCCTTATGTCAAGTATTGGGCTACTTAGAGACTAATGATAAAATCTAAACAACTTTTTTTCCGTTTTTTAGACACCTTGAAGAAAACAGTAGTCGCAGATAAGATAACAAGAATTGACCATAGAGAAAGGAAACGAAGAGGTAAAGCTTACCTCAGATGCACACAACCTCCCTGTTTATTACTTAATAGAGTGATCGGTTGTATACATTATAACGATATGTTTGTTCACTTGTATAATGAGTGGTCGTATTCTAAGGGGGATTTTATGGAATTGATAATTTTTTAGATTTTCTTTCTTTATATCAAGATAATTCGAGAATGCTGACGAGGATGTTTATCCACTGCAAACTTTTGACAAATTTCAAATATCTTCATTTTAACAAAAAGAAATACGATCACTCTATATAAAAGTTTTCAGTGTTTGATACGGAAACATATCGTAATGTACACAACCGACCATCTCTATTAATTAATTAATAGGGAGGTCGGTTTTGTACATCTGAGGTAAGCTTTACCTCTTCGTTTCCTTTCACCTATGGTCAATGCCATTCTGCCTATTATTTAAATCAGGGGTCAATCTAATCATTTTTAGAATCAAATTTGAGAAACAAGTTCTGAAACATTTTAAAATTGATTTAAATGTTGACTTTTAGAGAGGAAAATGTTCCAAGAAGTTGTAACTCATGCAATGATTATTTTAAGAGAGAAAAGATTTTGAAGATTGATTTAATTGATTTCTACGTGAGCTCGTGAGCGGGTGTTCGAGAAGTATAAAAGCATGCAACATGGACGCTAGGGGAGGAACGTGTCTCAGATACAGTCCGGAGATACGAGAACTCAAATTCTTTATCAGACCTTGAGAAATAGTAGAGTCCTTGTTTTGTACTTTTCTATCAAGGCACGGCATGGTACTGCATGGTACAACATGGTACTGCATGGTACAACATGGTACTGCACGTTACTACATGGTACTGAACGGTACAACATGGTACTACTTGGTATAACACGATGCTATATAGTACAACATAGTTCTGCATGGTACAACATGGCACTGCATGGTAATGCATGGTACTGCATTGTACAACATGGTACTGTAAGGTACAACATGGTGCTCCATGGTACAAATTGGTACTGCATGGTACAAAATGGCACTACATGGTACTGCATGGTATACTTTATGGTACAACATGGTACTGCATGTTAATACATGATAATACATGGTATAACATGGTACTGCATGGTACTGCATGGTAATGCATGGCACTGCATGGTACAACATGGTACTGCATGGTAAAACATGGTACTGCATGGTACAGCTGTTCTGCGGGATAAATCAACTTGTATAATCAAAATAGAATTGAGAGGTTTCGTGACCTAATCTTACGGTACAAAGTTGACAAAGTAATTCAAGCTTTCACTAATTTACTACGCGCAGAATATCGCATAGTTTTTAAAATGTTACTAATGAGTGTATGGCCGAAAAAATAGAATCTGTATTGTCTAACTGAAAGACAAAATAAACTTAAGACACATATCTGGTGTTTTATTTTATTTGCAGCATTACTATTTCAAGCTATCCCGCATTTTAAAACTCATTGTTTCTCAAAACCTCCTGAGAGGGTTTAAGTCCCAGAACGACAACATGGTACAACACGGTACTGAATGTTACTACATGGTACTGCATGGTACAACATGGTACTGCATGTTACTAAATGATACTGCATGAAAATACATGGTAATACATGGTACAACATGGTGCATCATGGTACAACATGGTACAACATGGTACAACTGGTACTGCATGTTACTACATAATACTGCATGATAATACATGGTAATACATGGTAATACATGGTGCAACATGGTAAAACATGGTTATGCATGGTACAACATGAAAACTGCATTGTACAACATAGTACTGCATGATAATACATGGTAATACATGGTAATACATGGTGCAACATGGTACAACATGGTTCTGTATGGTACAACATGAAAACTGCATTGTAAAACCTAATACTGCATGGTACCACATGGTACTGCATGGTACTGCATGGTACTGCATGGTACTGCATGGTACTGCATTGTACTGCATGGTACTTTACACAGAAGATTTCACCTGGATCTGTAATCAGAAATCAGAAAAAATGGATGATCTTACAACAGGAACAACAAAATTGTTGAATTAGAAGACGACATTTAAGCAATCGTATATGTATTTTGTTATTAACAAAAAAGTTTAAAATCACATCTTGAGTCTAACAGTCGTCTTGTTATTCCACAGTTGTATGGGTCTCACTGTATTATATATACAGTATATCCACGTGGGTCAATTCATCAAAAAGTGATTTAAATATAATACACTTCATTTTCTTGATAAGTAGGAATTAGTAACTCTAAGTTTGTTCTCAAGCCACTGAAAACATGCCTCAAATGCTGATTTTTTAACTCTTATCTTATCTTTGCAACAGATTGATGAAGAGTAAAGATTTGGTCTTGATTTTAGTTCATTTTGTAAAACTATTCTTGCTGAGATTATAAATCATTTTAAAGACACAGAGTTGCTCACAAGGGATGAGATTTCAGAGAGGCTCAGTTTCATTTGCCATAATATCTTTGCCATAATTACACTTGCCATAATATCTTTGCTATAAGTAACACTTGCCATAAGTTACGCTTGCCATAAGTCACACTTGCCATAAGTTACACTTGCCATAATGGTTACACTTGCCATAATTACACTTGCCATAATTACTTTTGTCATAATTTTCTAATTTTTAAAAAGATATAAATCTCTCTTTTTTATTGCAAATGCGGGAAATTTTACGATGAAAATTCCCAACTTTAGTTTTCTCATTGTTTTAAAACAGACTAGTTGACTCAAGTTCAGCTCCATATTTCCTCACAATGGAGGACCGTTGAGACCACAAGTAAGGGTAAACCAATAGTTCGAGACAACAACAACTACACCTATGTAGACAATGCCTTGTCTACAGAAGTAAATTATTGGAAATGTTCGGCTAAAATGTGCTAAAATACAATTCGACCCCGAATTCGAACTGTCTCTGAATTAGATTGTAATTTGTATTTAATTTGTAATTAAAAAATATATATCTATATGTTTGTTAATTCTAACCAAATTTTAATTATGGCAAGTGTAATTATAGCAAGTGTAATTATGGCAAGTGTAACCATTATGGATAGTGTAACATATGGCAAGTGTAATTTATGGCAAGTGTTACTTATGGCAAATGTATTATGCCAAATGTAATTATGGCAAAAGTATTTATGGCAAAAGTATTATGGCAAATGAAACTGAGCCTTCAGAGACACCTGTACTGTTCTCTTTCCTTATGTTCATGATTCCCTGAAACTTTAAACTTCCTTTTTATTTGCAAATTATTAAATAAGCCATTTAAAGACCAGATTCAACGCAGAAGACTCAATTTAAACTTGGGATCGTCTTATCTTATCTTATCTTACCAAATTTGTAAACCAATTTTGTCATTTTGTTTTCTGTTCATTGTTTTTCATTATAAAATACAGTCAACAAGAGTGTAAAAACTAATTTAAAGTTTTAGGATTAAACTTTAACATTTCGTTGTGTTGTGTTTAATGTAGCATTTTTAAAGAGGAGTGGGGGGATGGGGGGTATAAGTGGGAAAGGGAGGGGAGGATGAGGGAAATGAGGGATGTGGGATGAGGGATGAGGTATGATCAGAAAAACGTTAAAAATCTGCATATCTCTGGAATGTTAAAAAATATAAAACTATGGTGACCAGTAATGATGTTTTCCATTACAAAAACTATCTAATCGATGGTCAAATTCTACAGGGTGTCTCGAAAACAATTTCTCATTTAAGAATTTCTTAAAAACTTCAAACATATTAACTTCTGTAAAATTTCTCAAAGATTCGTAGAAATCAGGTTTTCATATAAAGGCTACACACTACCCAGCACCGTCACACGGACCTTTATATATAATAAATTAAGAGGTCCGTGACAAGTTTTTGAGAAGATTTGGGAGGAAAGTGATTTATCCAGGAAAAAGGAATGGGAAAGGGGGGGGCTTCAAGTTGTAAAGATTAAAATAATAATGTCTATTCGATAAAACTTTTTAATTAAACAACAATTTTAGAACTTGTATCCTGTATATTAGAACTCCCTGTATCCTGTATTTTAGAACCATCAGTATTCTGTATATTATCTCCTTGCATCCTGTATATTGGAACCCTCAGTATCCTGTATATTAGAACTTGTATCTTGTATATTATATCTAAGCTGGCCTTTCCGGAACCAAATTGATTCGGAAAAAATGTTCAAACCCTGCCACTAATTATGTATATTTAGGGAACTACTAAACGACGAAAAAGACGATCCATCGCCGATTATGTGGCCGGACCTTACGTAATAGATGATAAGGTATTTATTTATTTTAAAACTTTATTTCAGGAAACTTTAAAATTTTAATATATATATATTTTTTCATACTTTTCACAGGGTGCTTAAAAAGTGGAAAATGTTTTCTTCTATTAATTGTGAAACGCTGCCAAGGATTTTAATAAACTGTTTCTAAAAATGGGCTCTGAGCTGAGAACTTTAGAATGAGATATCCCTAATCCCGATTACTTAATCTGAGTATCCAATGGACACACTTTTGATTTTCTTCTTAAATCATTCTTTCTTGGATATAGTAGAGAAAAATTAAAAACCGGTTTTTTTAAATTAGAGAGTTCCCCCCGTTTCTGTATATTTATCTTAAATGGCGCGCAAAATTTCAAATTTATCGGCTTCATATACGCGGCTCTGATCGGTTGAATTTTATACACTTTTCAGGATACAAGTACAAGATTAGGTTAGTCTCGATATTAAGAAAAAAAGAGGATCAAGCATTAATCTCGATATCCGCCATTCTAAAGTTTTCAGCTCATGACATTTAAGAATATATTTACAAGAATTAAAACCAAAATATCCTCAGCAAAATATAAAGTATAAGAAATATTGAAGACGACATTTAATCCAAAGTTTTTTGTATCATACAGTGGTAGTCGATTATATCAAAACAATAAAGACGACTTTTTTATTTTCAATTGATACAAGCTTTTTTTAACAGCAAGATTACAAGTTTAAAAGCTTGATATAAATCAAAATTGAAATCGAAAGTCGTCTTCATTGTACTGATACATGCGACGACGACTGTAGTTTTTTTTTAACTATTTCTGAAAATTCAAAACAAATGAAGAACTTAAAGATTTACATGAAAACAAACAAGACTGAAAAAAAAAACTGCCGAAGCCAAAGAAAAAATTTTGGAAAACAGAAAAAAAATAAAATGAAAACATTTTTAAAATTTGTTTTACAAAAACACACTTCATCATTATTTTATTTATTTTTTTAAACATATATTTTAGACTGAGACAGTTTTGGATTCGATAAATGTAGATGGTGATACAGTTGCCTGGGTTCTAAGGAGATTTGCAGACACGGCTGAACACTATAAAAGGTCAGAAATAAATATCTTATTTAGGGGAGAGTGGATTGGTGACCCCCCCTCCCCCCTCCCCCCCTAAAAACCTTAGAAGGACGTCCCCAGCCCCCCCCCCTAAATGCTTTAAACACGCCTAGGCCGATAACTTTAAAGAACCAAAATCTTAAAATGACGTTTGCTTTGCGTCTTTATCAAATTTCTTTTTTCGAAATACTTAGAAATTTAACTTTTCTTTTAAAATCAGATCTTTATTTTTCTATTTAACTTGTTTAAGATTATATTTTATATATAAAATATAATCCAAACTAAAATTATCTGTTTTTAGGTTGAATGACGAACTTTGAGAAGTCCTGACATTTTCCTAGGTCATTTGTATATATCATAAACAAATCAAACTCGAATCTCTCAATCAAACCAACATCAATCAAACCAACATCAATCGATCGACCCATTAAACTTGAAAAATGAGTTTTTATCTGTAAATACGTCAATTTAATATTACTTAAATGTACAGTAATCCTGCTTTTATAAGGTCGGATTTGATATTTTCATGCTCTGAATGCCAACTTTGAATATCGTCTTAGAAATGTCAAATACTGACAATTTAAAGCTGTGTGTGGTATTTTCACATAGTTCAGGTTTTTTATTTAAACAATTTTAAATTTTTACTGTGTTCAAATATAAGTCCTTAAATCTTTAAACATTATCTAATGATTTCAAAGATCGGGCATTTTTTAAATTTAAATTTTTCAATTTTGCGGAAGAATATATTTCGGAAGATGTCATATAAAGTTGTAATTTTTATCGGACCAAATGAGTATACTGCAGGTAGTTTCAATATAAACATGGAGATATGAGTATACTGGTTGTTGCCGGCTAGAAAACGAGATTCTCAAGATGAAATGATAATAGGCCCACTGGAATCAGTCGTTGAAGGATATATATTTCCCAACAATATTTCCTGATTGCGACAGCAGACGCACAACCCCCGTCTCAAAAATGATAACAAAAATTCTCTTTATTTCCTGAAAAAATTACATATATTGATAACGTGTACAAATGTTCTAATGAATGTTTATAATGAAAAAATCCTTACGATCTATTTTCGGGTGATAAAGGGTTAACAATGGTTGAACAGTACTAAAATAAGATGACAATTGATTATTAATGAAAGTCACTGATTCTTGATATGAAATTATTCTTTGTTTAACTTTTGAAAATGGATTCCAAATACGCGAGGTTTTGTTTATGACTCCGTCAGGGAGAACAAAGAAAAGGGGGTTAAAATTGTTTGGTTTGGTGTCTCTGAGAGGGGACCTAAGTTAAAGACGACTTTACACGGAGACCTATTGTTAATGGTTGAAACTGGTTGTTTCAATAAACATGGAGATATGAGTAAACTGGTAGTTATAATAAAAATGGAGATATGAGTATACTGGTAGTTTCAATAAACATGGAGATATGAGTATGCTGGTAGTTTCAATAAACATGGAGATATGAGTATACTGGTAGTTTCTATAAACATGGAGATACGAGTATACTGGTAGTTTCTATAAACATGGAGATATGAGTATACTGGTAGTTTCTATAAACATGGAGAAATGAGTATACTGGTAGTTTAAATAAACATGGAGATATGAGTATACTGGTAGTTTCAATAAACATGGAGATATGAGTATACTGGTAGTTTCTATAAACATGGAGATATGAGTATACTGGTAGTTTCTATAAACATGGAGAAATGAGTATACTGGTAGTTTAAATAAACATGGAGATATGAGTATACTGGTAGTTTCAATAAACATGGAGATATGAGTATACTGGTAGTTTCCATAAACATGGAGATATGAGTATACTGGTAGTTTCTATAAACATGGAAAAATGAGTATACTGGTAGTTTAAATAAACATGGAGATATGAGTATACTGGTAGTTTAAATAAACATGGAGATATGAGTATACTGGTAGTTTAAATAAACATGGAGATATGAGTATACTGGTAGTTTCTATAAACATGGAGATATGAGTATACTGGTAGTTTCTATAAACATGGAGATATGAGTATACTGGTAGTTTCTATAAACATGGAGATATGAGTATACTGGTAGTTTCTATAAACATGGAGATATGAGTATACTGGTAGTTTCTATAAACATGGAGATATGAGTATACTGGTAGTTTCTATAAACATGGAGATATGAGTATACTGGTAGTTTCTATAAACATGGAGATATGAGTATACTGGTAGTTTCTATAAACATGGAGATATGAGTATACCGGTAGTTTAAATAAACTTGGAGATATGAGTATACTGGTAGTTTAAATAAACATGGAGATATGAGTATACTGGTAGTTTAAATAAACATGGAGACGGCAATTAAAACAAAACCATTGGTAATTGAAGTTTTTCCAGATTAAAAAAATATGTTTTTATGATTATTAAAATGTATAAGGACACAATTGAGCGGCGGAGAGATGAAAGCAAATAAATGGTCGTCATCATGTTTACTGAAACTAACTGAAGATAAAAGGGATAGAAAAGATATTGAAAATGTATCTATTTGTTGAGTGTTTTTGTATAACCTGTTGTGCACTTTGTTATGATTAAAAAGAAATTTTATTTTATTTTTGTAGTTTTTCGAGCAATATTCCCATGCATATCATTGTATAATATGGCAATTCAATACAAATGTAAAAAGGTTTCATTCCTTTTTTTGTTACTATGTATTTACCTGGTAAAAGAGAAAAATATTAATGAACACAAATGCTCTAAAATGTAAAATGTCTCTTAACATTTCTTTAAAATGGCTTCAAATTCTATAATTTCTGCAAATTTCATCTACAGAATTTTATCAAAACTTCTCTAAAACCTCTCTAACAATGGTTCAAAGATGGTTGAAAAATGGCTCAAAAAATTCTCTAAAATGTCTTAAAGTCTAGAAAAACATGTAAAACTTGAAATTTTTCGCTTGGATGAAAAACTAAAAGAAGCTCTTCACAAAAAAGGGCACTTTCTCTTGAAATTGAATCTAAAATTGATCCTGTAAGCTTAATCTTTTTATAAAAGAGCAACTATTTTTAAGCCCACAGCGAAACAGGTAGAATTCATTGTCAATTTAGAATCAGCTGTGCAGGTCAAAACAATCTTGACTTGTAAATGTCAATTTTATGATGACATGAATTCCTTGTAAAAATTGTTTCGTCTAACCTTTGTGATTTGTGATCAAAGGTTACATAAATTATTGTGAGAAAAATCCACCTTAATATTTAATATTTAAAGAAATTAAACTTTTATTTCAAATTTATTGACATTATTTTAAATACTTAAAGTATTATTGTTTTCTAATAGTATGTAAAATGTATGAATGTGTATATATATATTTTTATGAATAAATTTATTAAGTACTCTGTTAAAAATGGGAAGAAATCAGTCCAAGAACGATTATGCAAATTTGAAATTGCAATATTGTAAAATTCAAATTTGTGCAGATTTAAATCTTTCTTTAATATCGGACAAAATGGCTTCAGTGAAAAATTGTTTTTTTCTAAAATATAAAGAAAATAATACTTTCTCTGTTTTTCATAGTTTTTATGTTCAATTCTTGATTTTGTTAGTATATTCTTGATCTTTCCCATTTTCAATCTTTTTTAAATTCTTGATTATTTTCATAATCTTGATCATTTTCATAATCTTGATCTTTTTCACTGTCTAGATATTTACAGTTTTCTTCATGTTTTAGATACATTTTATAATCTATTTCTGTTACATGTTTTAATGTTTTTCATATTCTTTATAATTTTTATGATCTTGATGTCTTTTATTTTCTTTTTTTATTATGTGCTATGTAGGTAATTCGTATAATAGAAGATTTTCGAAATTCCAATGGTCTTGAATATTCGCTAATGTTTTCAAAATATATTAATTTTTCTGCCATATCCCCCCCCCCCAAATTTTATTCTTGATCTGGTTCCATGGATCCATTATTGGTTCAGTTTTTCCGATTCCTTTCCGTTTCTCTACCTCATATTTCGGTTTCTGTCTCTTTTTCAATTTTTGTTTCTTTAAGTTACTTTTCCAATTCTTATCTTTAAGTTCCTGGCCATTATTTCTAGAAGTTACTCCATTAAAAAGTTAGAAGCTCAACTTTCACTGTAAACATACAAAAAAAAGTGTACTTAAAAAATAGTCTTAACAATATAAACACTGCATAGTGTGTATACTGTAGCAAACACAGAAGCTAGTGTTTACTACAGTATAAACACAGAAACTAGTATTTACAATATAAACACAGAAACTAGTGTTTACAATATAAACACAGAAACTAGTGTTTACAATGTAAACACCGAAACTAGTATTTACAATATAAACACCGAAACTAGTATTTACAATATAAACACAGAAACTAGTGTTTACAATATAAACACAGAAACTAGTGTTTACAATATAAACACAGAAACTAGTGTTTAAAATGTAAACACCGAAACTAGTATTTACAATGTAAACACAGAAACTTGTGTTTACAATATAAACACAGAAACTAGTGTTTACAATATTAACACCGAAACTAGTATTTACAATATAAGCACAGAAATTAGTGTTTACAATATAAACACAGAAACTAGTGTTTACAATATGAACACAGAAACTAGTATTTACAATATAAACACAGAACCTAGTGTTTACAATATAAACACATCAAATACTGATTACAATATAAACACATCAAATACTGATTACAATATAAACACAGAAACTAGTGTTTACAATATAAACACATAAACTAGTATTTACAATATAAACACAGAAACTAGTGTTTACAATATAAACACAAAAAATTATGTTCACAATTTAAACACAGAAAATGGTTTTAAAAATCTAAACACATAATAAACGCACACAAAAAGTGCTTCATATAAATATTTTATTTCAGTAATTTATATATTTGTCAAATAATAGTATCTACATTATTTAGCTACAATATATATATATAAAGGGTTAAAATCTAAAACCTAGGAATGGAGAAACCAAATTCTAAGTAAAATTAATTCGGGGTTTCAAGCATCCTTTTTTTAATATTTTGATTAAAATTACATTTTTCTTGAATATTAAAGATGGCAATTGAGCTCATCATTATTCATTAAGATCTAATTCATAATTCATTATTCATTATTCATCAGTCTTTATAATAACTTTTACATATCATCTAAAATGCAATTCTGTATGCATACATTTTTTATTTAATTTTGACTATTTTAGCTGCTTTTTTAAATCATTTTTATTCCTTGTAAAGAAACTTAAAAGTTTCAAAGTCAGTGCTTTCTGCTTGTGTTGTGAATCCTGGGGTCAAGCATTGATATCTCCAGTTTTTGCAAATCTTCGAATTGATCTAATTTCTCTTAGATATCCCATTTTTGTCATTCCCTGAAGGACAATAACTCTAATTGAAGGATCTATTAAACTAAAAGTTTCCATATTGCATATCGAGATCAAACTTTTAAGATTAACCATACTCTAAATTCTAAAAGTTCCGATTTCTAGCTGCGCACATATGTTAATGTAATGATAAAATATATATGCCAATTAGATACTGTTGTGTTTTTAATATTTTTTTTTACATTTTTAACATTCTAAAATATCTGATTGTTATTTGCTAATAATAGATAATATAAGCTAAAACTTTAATAATAAAACAAACACCTAGCTATAACCTATATGATCAAATTAACAAATATTTTAAGCATAATATCACAGCTAATCGTAAATATACATGACACAATGTTAATTTTTTTCTTTTCTGTTCGGTTGAAATTTAAATTTACAATCATAACTAGATTGAATATTTCTTATTTTATGTATTTCGTTCAATGAACTGTAGATAGAAAAATGCCGTCCTTTCTTTTTATTAAATCTAGAATGATGTTAACAATCCGTTGCGTGTCCGATGTACTTTTAGAACAAAAAAATCTTCATAAAGTTCCATTTTTTCAACTTTTTCTTTTATTGTTTTTAACAAAAAATGCCTCACATGTTTAGGACAAATCATCATTAGGTAATGGCTTTTTTAAATGTTTTTTTTTTTACTAAAAGGGACTGTACGCATTAGTTCTAGTGAGAAGAGACACAATATGCAAAGACGGCGACTGCCCAATTTACAAATACCCTTTTAATTTTTAACTGATCATCTAGGGCGGAGTACTCCGTTTGTTTATCTCTAAAAATGTGTTAAAATTGCCATTATTTTTGAATGCGCATTTCTTAAAGTTTTGTAATGAGAATAGGGGGGAGGTACAACTAACATAATTGTCCTATATATTTCAAGATTATATAAATGAGGGTAAAAAAGCTACTTTATAAGTTCTATAAATTTATCACTTAGGACTTTTATCTTATCATTATTCTACATCACGTTTTCTTGATTAATCACTTTTCACAATTTATTTTGTTTTATTGCGATTTCTTTTTAAAAGCTTCTTCTTTTTCAATATCAGCTGATGTAAGGCCTCCAGACCTTTCAGAAAAAAAATACTTTTTATAAAAAAAATTTTGGTTTTTCTTGGGAAAAATTGACTGTATTTCAAAAATACAGGATGAGTAAAAAAAAATAGGGATTATCGATGCTTTGGACATTTTCAACATTTTTGTTTTTTTTCAGATTTAATGCATTAAAACGATCAAATGCGCAGAAAAAAACAAATTCAAAAATATCATTGGAACACTGAAAAAAACCTAAAACATTGTTAAGCAAATGTTAACTTTATTGTCTTCAAAAATTTCATAAAAATTCATTAAAAATTTAATAAAAAAAACTCTACAATAAGTGGTGAGTGAAAATTCGCAGTAAATATTATCTAATAACCTTAAAACTGTTATTACCTCAAAAATGAAAGTAATTGGCGGTCATTTTTCGTTATATCTCATTCAATTTTCGATGATTTTTTTTAAAACTTCTTTAAACAATGAAAAAACCATTTTCCCAACAATTTGTTCAAAAAAATTTGGTTTCGTGGCTTTTTTTTTAATGTTACAAACACATTTTTGAATTTATTTCTTTTATGCCTTAAATACGAACAAATCAAAAAATTTGAAGATTTTGTCCAAAACATCGATAATCCTTCTTTTTTTACTCACCCTGTATATTATTGTTAAATATAAGTATATTTTCCTGTATCTAATCCCTCTCCAGTAATACTACATGTAGGCTCAACCTTCAAACACAAATTTTAAAATTAAACAATTCCAATCTATTCCATTACAAACTATTTTATTCCAAACTATTCCATTACAAACTATTCCATTTCAAACTCTACCATTCCAGACTATGCCATTCCATGCTATACCATTCAAAACTATACAATTTCAAACTATACCATGCCAAACTAGGCCATTCCAAACTATTCCATTCCAAACTTTACCATTCCAAACTATACAATTTCAAACTATACCATGCCAAACTAGGCCATTCCAAACTATTCCATTCCAAACTATACCATTCCAAACTATACCATTCAAAACCATACAATTCCAAACTATACAATTCCAATCTATACCATTCCAAACTATACCATTCCAAACTATACAATTCTAAACTATACCATTCCAAACTACACCATTCAAAACCATACAATTCCAAACTATACCATTCCAATCAATACCATTCCAAACTATACAATTCCAAACTATACCATTCCAATCTATAAAATTCCAAACTGTACCATTCCAGACTATGCCATTCCATGCTATACCATTCCAAACTATACCATTCCAAACTATTCCATTCCAAACTATACCATTCCAAACTATACAATTTCAAACTATACCATTCCAACTATACAATTCTAAACTATACCATTCCAAACTATACCATTCCAAACTAAACCATTCCAAACTATACCATTCCAAACTATTCAATTCCAAACTATACCATTCCAAACTATTCCATTCCAAACTATACCATTCCAAACTATTCAATTCCAAACTATAGCATTCCAAACTATTCCATTCCAAACTAGGCCATTCCAAACTATTCCATTCCAAACTATACCATTCAAAACTATACCATTCCAATCTAATCCATTCCAACCAATACCATTCCAACCTATACCATTCCAAACTAAACCATTTCAAACTATTCAATTCCAAACTATAGCATTCCAAGCTATTCCATTCCAAACTTACCATTCCAAACAATGTGAGAAAAAGATTTTAAATATTTTTTGTGATCGCAGCAAATTTTTTCGAAAAATTTTAAAGAACTAAACCTGCCACAGTGAACTATTGAGGTCTCTTAACCCTAGCACCTCTTCGATCTAGGATATTATTGTTATTATTGTTACTATTTTAATTATCAATATTATAATTAGTAGTAGAAGGAGTAATATTATTATTATTCTTATTATTATTATTATTATTATTATTATTATTATTGTCATAATGAGTTTATCCAATAAAAAGATTAACTGCTGACCTGGTGAGCGGAGACAGCTGATGTAAGATCCTGTTTGTTTGCCAGGACTAGCAGAGGAACTGATGAGTTATCCTAGAATATCAATTATTTGTCAAATACTTATTTCTAGACCCACTTCACGCCATCTTTGATTTAAACTTTTAATTAATGCTTTTTCTCAATTTGTTTCATGGATTTTTAATAAATTAATTTTTTTAATGCAATTTTGTTCCATTTTTTCATCCATGAACCTTCCCTGGGATTATTTAGGTCCGATCAATTCAGCCGTATTAACTTTTAACGGTTAAAAATAAACAAACGAATAGACAATTATTTTTCAAATATCAACTATCTGTCAAATATCAACTATTTGTCAAATATAAATTATTTGTCAAATATGAATTATTTGTCAAATATCAATTATTTGCCAAAGATCAATTATTTGTCAAATATCAATTTTGTCAAATATCAATTTTTTGTCAAATATCAATTATTTGTCAAATATCAATTATTTGTCAAATATCAATTATTTGTAAAATATCAATTATTTGTCAAATATAAATTATTTTTCAAATATAAATTATTTGTCAAATATCAATTATTAGTCAAATATCAATTATTTGTCAAATATCAATTATTTTTGAAATATCAATTATTTGTCAAATATAAATTTTTTGTCAAATTTTACAATATAAATATTTTATTGCAAAGCGTTTTGAAAAATAAAACTATTATATGTACAATTATTTGGGAAGAATTTTTTCTTTTTCTCAATTTTTACAATGCTAGTCTTTTTTGTTTAGTTGTGTACACTGTGCACAGACAAAGGTCTATATTTAGTAGAAATAAAATATACATGTAATGTTACTAAGAATAAAGAAAATAAATATTTTCTGTATTCAATAGAATATCATCTTGATTTGTCAGGTCATTAATATACAATAAGAAAGATATCTTTGTACTTTTTAACCTTTATCCTCTTCCCATCTATTCATACCCTACAGGGTTATTAACAAAAAAAGGCTTTCAAGACGGTTTTACGACATTTTTTCTTTTCTTTTTTTTTATTCATGTATTCTACTTTAAAAATGAATTTAGATTTAATTTTGTCATATTTAAATAAACTAAAGGGACTGTACGCGTTATTTCAAGTGAACCTCCATGCAAAGACGACAATGCCCGATTCACAACCTGTATCTGATAAAAATGAGGAAGATATTGTTGTTTCTCGAGATTTAAAAGGGTTTATTTCTGATAACTTCATGAGTATGTTTTACTGCAATAGAAATGCTCAAGTCACTCATGTAAAGAACCCCTGTCAAATTGAAAACAAACAGTTCTCAAAATTTGAAACAATTAGATCTAATTTATATTAATCAGACAAAGCTTTTTAGGACATTATTGTGAACCGGGAATTGCCATCTTTGAATTACACTTACAGTCCCTTTAAGTCTCATACCCCGGAATTTCCTATGATACAAAAAAAAATTTGGCAGCGTACATCAGACTTTCAGAGAAGCAACAACTGGGTATGGCTCAGCGCTTCTAAAAGTACTTAGAGATACAGGGTGAGAGAAAAAAATGGCAAAGCAAGAGAAACTTTAGCCAGGGATGTATATCCCCCGTTAACACCGCTCCACACAAATGAAAAAAAGGCCTGCAATAATCTTTAACCTGGAGAATGGAGGTTTTTTACCTTGCTGCTTCCAGATTTAGCTACTGGAAGCTTTTAATATACTCCTTAATAGCTGTTTTTAAGTATCCAAACTCATTGGAAAGATGTCAATTCTTTTGATTGAATCTGGTTCTATGTGTAAGCATCAAGGGAGCTTAGAACAGTCTGGTTCTTATAAAACGCTGTTCAGTTTCTAGTGGCTGAACAGAACCCTGTGTGGAATAACATGGCAGTACACCCTACTTGGAAAAAAAAGAAAATAATAGTGCAGAGAAGGAGGGGTTTCTCTTTGCTTCTCTTCCCCTTCCCTCTTGCCAGAAACAAGGAAAATGGAAACATAGAAAGTAGAATTCTGATAGGTTTTGCAACATGCACTATGATACCAGTTTAAACTCTGCCAGCTGCAAGGAAAAGATTGCTGTAGACAAGGCCGTATTCTGTCCAAGATGAACTTACAATAATCAAGAATTATTTTCTCGAAAATATCCAATCTATTCAACCTTTCTTATCCCATTATGAAGGCGGAATTCTGACAATGGATATCCTCAGAATTTTCAAACCCCGCTTAGTGCAGAGACTTTATTTTTCAACCTGTAAGAATTTTGAGGAAATTATGTACTAAGCTAACTTTCAACAGTTGCTGAGTCAGACATTCCTGGGTCAGAAAACAATACTGAAAACTGCAAATACATCTGATATCTACTCACGTACAGTAACTTTCTTTTATACTTAATTTGATATTTCTGGCGCCAAGATACCAAATAAAAGAATAGTATGAAAAAGAAAGTTTGCCAAAAGGGAGCTGCAGCTCTGGGAAAATGCAGAATATTAGGGAGAAACAAAAGCCGAAATTTGTGTCAAAATGCATATTTCCTTTGTCTATAAAGGATTCGAATGCGTAGATCAACAAAAGAGGAACAGAAAACAGATGTATGATCAGATAAAAAGAAGATACAGCAATCGGAGAAAAAAATCGCTGCACTTTTCTTTAAATTTTGTTAAAAAAAAAGAATTTTATTTAAAAATAAATTGTTAAAAAAAGAAATTTTTGGTTTTCTCCTGTGTTAATCCAAGTGAATCAGGATGCCAGTCTGCTGTCGTGCATATATCCTCATCCTACAACCCCCCTCCCCTCTATCTCCCCCCCCCTCCCCCCCTCTTCCCCAATAATCCTACTACCCCCCCCAACCCATCCATAAATTTCCCCAACACCCTTTACTTTTCTTATTTTGAAATCGCGCAAAAAGATTTTACACTTCTAACTGATATTTCGGGGGCGGATCAAAAACACAGAAAAGAAACGTAACTAATTAATGATTAATGATATAAGTCAGCTAGCCATGTTGGAGATAGCGAGTAAAAGATTATATTCCTTGTGACGTCATTTCCGGGAAACTTCAAAATACTAAAAACATGGCGTCAGGTGAATAATCAGTTGTGTGTGGGAGGGGGTCATAAAATATATTATTTGTTCTAAGATCAGATTTAATAACTCATGAGATGTAGTTAAAATAGTTAAGGCTAGTTGAATAATTCAACTTTCCGCACCGAGCTCACCTAATTCTCACAATATCTTAGTTTTAATCGCTTCACCCAATCAAAATTCACGACTATTTATACAGTTATAAAAGAATATATATTTTCATCTGGAAAATAATTGTTAAGATTTGAACCGAGTGAAATCTGATCTGTTCGTTTAAAGAATACAAAGCTACAATGTTTAATCAGCACTTGTAGATAAAATTGAGAGGATGATCTTTTATATTTTAATATTTGAATTCTGATCAATTCATATATAATGTTTTAATTGGTTGGAATAAGATTTTATATTATAACATTTTGTATAAAATATTATTATGTATGTTTCGTAATAATGCAATTTAACTTTGAGTAAAAATTTTAAACTTGAGCACTGAAAATCAAACAATAAAAATGAGGGGAAAAGAGAGAGGCATATTGAAATAAATGAAGCGGTAATTTCCGTCTGTTTGTTTGTATATCATAACTCAGAAACCCCTTTGTCGGTTTGCCCCACACCACTTTGATTTGGTAAATTTGCTCAGTGTTTAAAAAACGAAATTGAGTAGGCTGACATTTAGTTTCCAAGCATAGCTATAAGCAAGTTCATAATGCAAGGAAAGTTATTACAGAGGTGTATCTTTTGTTCTGAAGTGTACTGTCTCTGAGACTCGGGGCGGACGTCGAAGCCTGACATGGGATCCATCTTTCGCATAAAAAAAATCAATGAAATATTCTGGCCATAAAAAACTATTATGTGAATTATCAATATTATCAAAAATTAATGCTAAACACTTCCTCGGATACTAAACGAAAACTGATGCATCAATTCTTGTTTACAAATTCCACCAAGAGAGAACTGGTTTCAATATGTACGCGGAGTATACGCAACTTCAATTAACTTTCCTTGCATTATAACCTTGGCTAGAAGGAACTGAACCACATTAATATCAATAGGAGGTAGTCATTAATTTGACGTACTGTCCCTTTTTGCTTCCTATAGTCTGTATTTGTACTGTACTGCTTGCTCTGGCTAGTTGAAATTCGGCCCGGTACATGAAATAAACTGGATTGTACTCAAATAGATCATCAAGTACGATAGGTGGCAACATATAAATGAACCAATTATACACAACGTCACAAGAGTCAAATATAACAAGGAAAACGAAATTGTCTCACATTTGTTGACATGTTTTCCAAGATTAAAAAAAAGTGTTAAAACAGAGACTAAAGAACACATTAAATTGCACTTATTACACTGTAAGAAAAGCACTTTAATCTAAAATTATCACTATTATTGATGATTTTGTCGGACACAAAAACTGAATTGACACTTGTGACGACAGAATACAACTGTACTGTGAGTGTGCAAATTCTACGTTGCCATCTATTGTACTAGAATCTTTTTGATTGTACTCCAATTTTCTATGATATAGTATCCCTTTGATATTATGTTAGAGAAGAAAGTCAAAGTTAAAAATATGACAGATCTACGCCATCAGGTTTCAAAGATATGGAAAATAGAAAATTGGAGTTTGGCACCGGTGTTTTGTTCCTCTTTAGAATGTTTATTGTTTTTACTTTTCATGTATTGGACACACTTTTTGTAAGATAAAAAATAATAGTTTAGAGCTTTGTACATATTAACTTTTGTTTAACAGAGCTGGGAACTTTTGTATTGTGGATATCGAGATCAATGCTTGATCTTGATATTTTGTTAATCTCAGCCTAATTGCACCTTTATTCGATTATCTGCACGGTTCTTGTGCCTAGTCAAGGGTTGAAGGGAGGAATAACTAAAATGTAGATACGGAGAGGTAAAGTTTTTAAAGATACTTAAATTAATAGTGCCCACAATAGTGGATATCGAGATCAAGTGATCGGGTTTATGTGTAACCAACAAATAATCCAAGCTCAGGCATATGCTCGAAAGTGTATCATCATTAGCTAGAAGCTTTCAAACTTTATCCTTCCTAGCTCAGCGTATGTAAATGTTTATTGTATACTACATACAGTCTACAGGGTGTCCCTAATAATGCGGGAATTGAAGGACGGCTCAAATGTTGCCATATTTTTCAAAATTAATTCTAGCTTTCAAATGTTTCTTTTTACTACACTCTTTTCCTTCTTACACCAAAATCGCAGATTCTCCTGTTTTCACTGTTTGATTTCCAAAATTTTCAAAATGTTAAAATTGTTTGAGGTAAGATTTATAAATTCTGCCCCACAAAAAACCTTCCCTGAAGTCATTTAAACGTTCACAACAAACCTGGGGTTCATCCGCTTGGTGTTCATTACAGACCACATTTTGAAAATCCCAAGACTACAATTTTTGGTATTATATACATATAAAATGAGTTTAACAAGAAGGAGAATATTCATCTGGTGTACTGTCCTGGTTTGCTATACATAATCTGTAATTGAACTATACACCTTGCTCTAGCTGGTGTTGATCCGGTACTTGAAAATGAACCGGAGTTTACAGTGATATAGATGGCTCCAATAATTAAGTAAACTTTTTCCCATGGAAATCACTCGATATAAATTTTTTGGGGACACCCTGTATATTAAACTTTATAAGGATATACGAGGACATAAAAATAAGATTGGCTATGTTTCTACTGCATAGTCTTCTTAGATAGATAGATAGATAGATAGATAGATAGATAGATAGATAGATAGATAGATAGATAGATAGATAGATAGATAGATAGATAGATGGATAGATAGATAGAAACCGACCTGATATCTCATTGTTCTAAAAAGTTCCATTTTTGCTTCCTCGAAAGAATCTGAGTTTGCAGAATCCACAACAAACACTATTCCGTCCGTACACCTGTACAGTATAAAATATAAACACTATTCCGTACGTACACCTGTACAGTGTAAAATATAAACATTATTCCGTCCGTACACATGTACAGTGTAAAATATAAACACTATTCCGTCCGTACACCTGTACAGTGTAAAATATAAACATTATTCCGTCCGTACACCTGTACAGTGTAAAATATAAACACTATTCCGTCCGTACACCTGTACAGTGTAAAATATAAACATTATTCCGTCCGTACACATGTACAGTGTAAAATATAAACACTATTCCGTCCGTACACCTGTACCGTGTAAAATATAAATACTATTCCGACCGTACACCTGTACAGTGTAAAATATAAACACTATTCCGTCCGTACACATGTACAGTGTTAAATATAAACACTATTCTGTCCGTACACCTGTACCGTGTAAAATATAAACACTATTCCGTCCGTAAACCTGTACAGTGTAAAATATAAACACTTTTCCGTCCGTACACCTGTACAATGTAAAATATAAACACTATTTCGTCCGTACACCTGTACAGTGTAAAATATAAACACTTTTTCGTCCGTACACCTGTAAACTGTTAACAATATAAACACTATTTCGTCCGTACACCTGTACAGCGTAAAATATAAACACTATTCCGTCCGTACATCTGTACAGTGTAAAATATAAACACTATTCCGTCCGTACACCTGTACAGTGTAAAATATAAACACTATTCCGTCCGTACACCTGTACAGTGTAAAATATAAACATTATTCCGTCCGTACACCTGTACATTGTAAAATATAAACACTATTTCGTCCGTACACCTGTACAGTGTAAAATATAAACACTATTTCGTCCGTAAACCTGTACAGTGAAAAATATAAACACTATTCCGTCCGTACAGCTGTACAGTGTAAAATATAAACACTTTTTCGTCCGTACACCTGTAAACTGTTAACTATAAACACTATTTCGTCCGTACACCTGTACAGTGTAAAATATAAACACTATTCCGTCCGTACACCTGTACAGTGTAAAATATAAACACTATTCTGTCCGTACACCTGTACAGTGTAAAATATAAACACTATTCTGTTCGTACACCTGTACAGTGTAAAATATAAACACTATTCCGTCCGTACACCTGTACATTGTAAAATATAAACACTATTTCGTCCGTACATCTGTACAGTGTAAAATATAAACACTATTCCGTCCGTACACCTGCACAGTGTAAAATATAAACACTATTCCGTCCGTACACCTGCACAGTGTAAAATATAAACACTATTTCGTCCGTACACATGTACATTGTAAAATATAAACACTATTCTGTCCGTACACCTGTATAGTGTAAAATTTAAACACTATTTCGTCCGTACACCTGTACAGTGTAAAATATAATCCGTACATTTTTACAGTGTATAATATAAACTTTATCTGTACATCTGTACATCTGTACATTTTACATTATATACTATATTTGTGCATCTGTACAGTGCACAGTACAAACTATATCTTTACATCTGTGCAGTGCACATTAGCTGTGTACTATATAAGGTATATCCGTACATCTGCACAGTTTACAATATAAACTATATCTGTACATCTGAACATCTTTATATCTGTATATCTGTACTGTGTACAATATTAACTATATATGTACATCTGTACAGTGTATATCATAATCTTTACATCTGTAAAGTGTACAATATAATCCGTACAGCTGTAGAGCATTTAATATAATCTGTTAAGTGTAGTGCAAAATATAAACTATATCTGTATATTTGTATAGTGTACAATATAAACCATATCTGTACATCTGAACAGTGTACACTATAAACTATTTATGTACAGTTGCACAGTTTACAATATAAACTATATCTATACATCTGTACACTGTACAATATAAACTGTATCTGTACATCTGTTCAGCTTACAATATAAACTATATCTGTACATATGTACCGTGTTCAATATAAACTATATCAGTACATCTGTACAGTGTACTATTTAACTACATATGTACTTATGTACAGTTTACACTATAAACTATATATGTACATTTGTACATTGTTAAATATAACTCCATATGTACGTACAAACGTACTTACATACAGTGTGCAATATTAACTTATTTTTATATCCCTACAAGAACAGTAAAATGAGTTACAATAATAATAAAAATCCATAAAAAAGAAGGAAAATAAAATCTTATTATTTCCCTTCTTGTTAGCGTTGTTATTCTTGTAAGTGTGTACATTATTGGTAATATTGCCTTTCCACGACTTACGAGTTACAAAAATATTATCTATTTCTAATCTTTGCCAATAAATATATATTGACTAGGACCGCCATCTTTACAGCGTCAAATCTGCGTACTGCAGTGGGAGGAGATCAAAACAAAGAATCCAGGGGCAAAACTTATGGGGGGGGGGGCTATGAAGATCATGAGACTTAAAATCGTGAAAATTTAAGCTTTCAATGAAGGAAAGAGGAATATAACTAACAAAAACAAAATTCAAAATGATTTATTGGGATATTTATATATACTGTCAAAACGCAACTTAAAAATTATGGCTGGTATTTCTTAAGCACCAATTGGTTTGTTACATCGCTCCCAGAGAGTTGTTTTTGAAAAAAAACCTGTTGAAAAATACTCAACTTTGGTTAGAATCTATATAAGAAAGTCACAGGAAAAAAACCTCTGGAAAAAAAAACCTGGAAATAGAAACGTTGGTACAAAGTCTCAATTTTCTGAAGTCCTAGGACAAAATGTCACTGAAAATAAAGTCCTGGGAATTTTTTTGCCAAAAAAGTCTTTAGAAATAAGATTACAGAAATTAAAGTCCTGAAGAAAATTAATCAGAAGAAAGAAAACCAAGAAAAAAGTCTTTAGTCTTGAGAAAATGAGGTCAAGTCTGAGATGTTTTCATTAAAAGGACTTTTTTCCAATGCATCTGTATATTGAATATAGCCAGGGGTGTTTTTGATATCTTAAGCCGCTTTTTCCATGATTGTAAACACCCCTTGTTCCCATGCATTTTCCACTATTTATGAGCACTTTTTTCCAGGGACTTTATTGCTTAAAATCATACTGAAACCAGAAAATAGTCATAGAAAATAAGGTCTCAAAATAGTAGAACTTTATTTCCCGGGACTTTTTATTTTAAGGTCTTTTTTCACAGGACTTTTTTGGTGCCAAAATTTAGGACTTAATTTTTCCAAAAACTTTTTTTAATAATGAATATTTCAAGCTACAAAACGACTGTTATCAGATAAATAAAATTACAATTTTTGAAACTCGTTTTTCAATATAACTAGATATGTCTTATGTTTCATAATCTCCTTCTTTTTGTTGCGTCATTACATTTCAGATACAGACATGCAAATCAGACATGCAAATCAATTCTGAACCATTTTATCTACATCCCAAAAAAAGACCAGATCTTAAAACATTTACAAAATAGATATATGTACATTTTTAGAAAAGAAATCTTTTACAATAATCAAATAATTAAACAAGTTTTGGTTTCTGATATTAATATTTCATAATAGAAGTTTCAGTGTGATTTTTCAAATTTTAAATAAGTTTTGAGTAGTATTAAGTCTCAAAATATATTTGTTCCATGTGATAAAATGAAAAATTGATTCATTTAAAATCACGATATTTTACACCATGTGAGTTACTTTTGCATAAATATTTTCTCAAGTGGCAACTTACCAATTGAGCAGCTTCCAAAGTCTGTCCTAGCCGCAGCGCACGCCCTCCCCCCCTAGCGTAATATAGCAGCACCGCTTGGTCCCATAGCGCATCATAGCCGCAGCGCTCGGCTTCGTTGCAGCAGCTGAGGCGCCTCAGTCGGCCTAACTCGCCTAACCTAACCTTGGGAAGTCACGATGTCATTTAATGCCAACCTTGGCCACCAATTGAATAAAGTTTCTAGCCTACCTAGTGTATGATCTCCAGAGTGGGCGTATCTTCTCCTGCCCGCCCACATCCCAGATAAGAAAGGTTAAGCCTCTAGTTTTACCCAGTGTACCCCTGTAAAGACCAGCTAGTCGAGTTTACTACAAAATCTTTAATTATCTGTCTATCAAGTGTCTAGCCATAGGAGAAAGGAAACGAAGAGGTGAAGCTTACCTCAGATGTACACAACCGACCTCCCTATTAATTAACTAATAGAGTGGTCGGTTGTGTACATTACGATATGTTTACGTTTCCAACACTGTACACTGTACACATAGAGTAACTAACCTTCGTCCACTTATTTTACGATTGTTTGGGTCTCGATGTATTTGTCTAGATGAATTTTGTTAACTTTCTAGTGAACTAGCTTTCTAGTTAATAACTTACGAAGCGGGCAATTACAGCTGCCTTGTTTTTGTATTTCTAGATGTTTAGAAAACTAAATGTTTACTTGTCTAGTTCTCTAAATACCTATCTATTTTTCTTATAGTGGTGAATCTGTTTAGTTCTCTAAATACCTATCTATCTATCTGTGTAGTGGTGAATCTGTCTAGTTATCTAGTTGTTTGTCTTGTTGTTTAGTTGTGAAGATGACAATGTTATATTTGTCTAATTAATTGTCTAACTTTATTATTGTCTATTTGTCTAACTGTATAGTTGTATTGATATCTTGCTGTCTAAGTGCCAACCTTTTTAGCTGTCTAATTGTCTTGTTGTCTAGCTTAATAGCTTTCTTGTTGTGTAGCAATATAGTTCTCTAGCTGTTTGTATAGATGTAAAACTGTCTGTCTAGCTGTAGATCTGTCTTTAAATTAGCTATTTAATTGTCTGGCCGTCTAGGTTTATTTTTGTCTAGTTGTCTAGCTGTCTAGCTTTATTATTGTCTAAATTTTTAGCTAGTTGAACTAGTTAGCTAACTGTTTGTGTAGCTTGTGTGTGTCTAACTATCTAGTTTTCTATTCGTCTAGTTGTCCAGTTTTCTATTCCTCTTGTTGAACAATTTTCTATTCTTCTAGTTGTCTAGTTTTTTATTCGTCTAGTTGTCCAGTTTTCTATTCGTCTGGTTTTTGCTAGTTTACTATTCCTCTAGTTGTCTAGTTTTCTATTCGTCTAGTTGTCTAGTTTTCTATTCGTCTAGTTGTCAAGTTTTATATTTGTCTAGTTGTCTAGTTTTCTATTCGTATGGTTGTCTAGTTTTCTATTTGCCTAGTTGTCTAGTTTTCTATTCGTCTGGTTGTTTAGTTTTTTATTCTTCTAGTTTTCCAGTTTTCTATTTATCTAGTTGTTTAGTTTTCTATTTATCTAGTTGTTTATTTTTCTATTGGTCTAATTGTGTAATTATTTAGTTGTCTAGTTGTCTAACTTTCTAGTTGTCTAGTTGTCTTAATGTCAAACTTTATGAACTGTTGAACTTTCTATATCTGTCAATTTGCTTAAAAGATATTTTCCAACCTTTGAGATGAAACAGATATGTTTTAATTTGAAAGGTAACCCATGACTGACTTTGACTTTCTGTCAAAAATTTCTTTTAACAGGGCGACCTAGAAAATATTATTATTGCTTGAGGGCTTTTAGATTTCCGGGAGAAGATTGAAACCTTTCTCTGACATGAAATTTTATTATATCAACTGATATTAACCATTAACAGAGAACGACTTTTTTTTCGAAAATTTAGTGACAAGAACTTAAAACCCCAAATTTACACCTTTAAGGACCTTTACACGTTAATTTTGATTAAAAAGATTAACGAGATTAGCTGCCTTATTCTTTCACAGTTAAATCCAATCGTTGGAACAGTATTTATGTACTGATTGAACTTCATCCTGTACAGTGCAGTACTCTTCCCAGCTCCATCCAACCCTGTAATTATATTTATGTACTGATTGAACTTCATCCTGTACAGTGCATTACTCTTCCCAGCTCCATCCAACCCTGTAATTATATTTATGTACTGATTGAACTTCATCCTGTACAGTGCAATACTCTTCCCAGCTCCATCCAACCCTGTAATTATATGTATGTACTGATTGAACTACGGTGGTAGGCGAATTTATTGATATAAAGAAGACGAATTTTTATTTAAGTTTTTATTGTTAACAACTTTTTTCGAATTGTAAGTTTACTAGCTTAATTAATTAAAAGCTTCTCTTTTTCCATGTTTTCAGGTATCCATGCTGTTCATAGCTTGATTTAAATCAAAATTTAAATCGAAAGTCGTCTTCATTATATTAATAAAATCGTGTACCACCGTATGATGTATATTAACAATAGATAAATATATAGATAGAAAGATAAATATATATGGTATTACCTGTCCTAACATAATAATATAAAATTTTTAAAAAACCCATCATTTCACACATTTTTTCTCACAAATAATACATTTTTGTCCATTTAGTCCTAACATCCTAGTAGACATTTATACTATTAATTTCATTATGATGATCAGGTAATAATTAAGAGAAAGTTTTTTAAAAACTTTGTATTATCATGATTACAAGATAAAGTATATTTACTACTGTATCACGACAATACAAAGTATATTTACTGACCTATCATGACAATATTAAATATATTTACTGACCTATCATGACAATCTGAAGTATATGTACTGACCTATCATGACAATATTAAATATATTTACTGACCTATCATGACAATCTGAAGTATATGTACTGACCTATCATGACAATATAAAGTATATTTACTGATCTATCATGACAATATAAAGTATATTTACTGACTTATCATGACAATATAAAGTTTATTTACTGACTTATCATGACAATATGAAGTATATTTACTGACCTATCATGACAATATGAAGTATATTTACTGACCTATCATGACAATATAAAGTTATTTACTGACTTATCATGACAATTTGAAGTATATTTACTGACCTATCATGACAAAATAAAGTATATGTACTGACCTATCATGATAATATGAAGTATATTTACTGACCTATCATGATAATATAAAGTATATATATACTGACCTATCATGACAATATAAAGTATATTTACTGACCTATCATGACAATATAAAGTATATGTACTGACCTATCATGATAATATAAAGGATATTTACTGACCTATCATGACAATATGAAGTTTATTTACTGACCTATCATGACAATATAAAATGTGTTTACTGAACTATCATGACATTATAAACAATATTTACTAACCTATCATGACAATATAAAGTATATCTACTGACCTATCATGACAATATAAAGTATATGTCCTGATCTATCATGACAATATAAAGTATATTTACTGACCTATCATGATAATATAAAGTATATTTACTGACCTATCATGACGATATAAAGTATATTTACTGACCTATAATGACAATATGAAGTAAATTTACTGACCTATCATGACGATATAAAGTATATTTACTGACCTATCATGACAATATAAAGTATATTTACTGACTTATCATGACGATATAAAGTATATTTACTGACCTATAATGACAATATGAAGTAAATTTACTGACCTATCATGACGATATAAAGTATATTTACTGACCTATCATGTCAATACAAAGTATATGTACTGACCTATCATACCAATATAAAGTATATGTACTGACCTATCATAACAATATAAAGTATATTTACTGACCTATCATGATAATATAAAGTATATTTACTGACCTATCATGACGATATAAAGTATATTTACTGACCTATCATAACAATATGAAGTATATGTACTGACCTATCATGACAATATAAAGTATATGCACTGACCTATCAAGACAATATAAAGTATATGTACTGACTTATCATGACAATATAAAGTATATTTACTGACCTATCATAACAATATGAAAATCCTCTTTGGAAAGGTTGGGTAGAGTGTCCAGTAAAGCAGTTGTACCTTTTCCAGCCTTCAGTATGTAGGGACCAAAATCAATTTTATTCAAAAAAGTATTTTCGTCACAAAAAAGGGTTATTTTTGGTAGAAACTAATCAACTATTTGAATTTTGAATTTTGAAGACAATTTGAAGTGAAGTAAGCTCGTAAAAAGTCTTTTAAAGTCGACTTAATGTCGGAAATATGTCGACTGTTAGATACTAGTCATGAACTCGGCATCAGAAACTCATATTAAGCTTTGGCTAAGTTTGAACAAAACTGATATAATACCGTAATACGTCGAGAATATATCGGCTTTTAAATACCAGTTCTGAACCAGTCATGAACTTGGAACAAATAATCGTAAAAAATCAAGTTTTTAATTCATGTTTTGGCCAAGTTTGAACTGGGAACAAAACGAGTAAATTATTTCAAGAATATCTCGAGTTTAGAATACCAGTGCTGAACTAGTCGTAAACTTAAATTTTAACATTTTGAATTTTGAAGACTTTGTAGTCAGGTTTAAGCCGAGTAATTATAGTAAGGAATTAGAATTGAACATCTTGTGTTTGATCTGCATAATTCCCTGATTAATCTAATCTTGGAAACCAACTCAAGCCATGTCAAACCAATGATATTGATTTTATTCTTGTTGAAGCAATTAAAAAAAATCTTTTTAAAAATACGGAAATTTCCTAGCATACGATTTTTGGATACACCCCCCTCCCCCCACCCCTCCTATCAAGGATCTTGTATGTAAGACATGGATATAATTGACCATGTGGCCGTAGCGCCCGGCTCCCTAGCATGTCCTAGCCGCAGCGCTCGGCCCCAAAATTATCTTAACCTAACCATACCCTAAAATAATAACTTAAAATTAATGGTCATGTAAAAAATTGAAAGGAGAAGGGGGGATGGGAGAGGTCCAAAAAAACAACTTTGAAGAGAGGAATTGTTATTGAATTCTCAAAGATGTCAAAGGGAATTTTCTCAACCTAATAACCTAAAAATGAAAAAAAGCATTTTTAAAGTTTTTTTTGGACTTTATCCATTTTGGTTTAATAAACACTTTTGGTTGATTTGGTTGCAGATTAGGGTTATTATAATTTTCTTGAATAGTCCCTTTCCTTGTTAACCATCCAAGACATAAAGGATTTGACGCAACTAGGAACAGCTGGAGGTTTGGTTTGGTTTAGATTCGCGTAGCTCGGTTCATCAGCACTCATACTACAGCAGCCAGCAGTCCGTTCATCTTTACCCCCTAGACAAAAGATTAGCTGGGTTTATTTGCACTCATACTACAGCAGCCAGCAGTCCATTCATCTTTACCCCCTAGACAATAAATTAGCTGGGTTCATTAGCACTCTATACTACAGTAGCCAGCAGTCCGTTCATCTTTATTAGCTGGGTTCATTAGCACTCTATACTACAGTAGCCAGCAGTCCGTTCATCTTTACCCCCTAGACAATAGATTAGCTGGGTTCATTAGCAATATATACTACAGCAGTCTGTTCATCTTTACCCCCTAGACAATCGATTAGCTGGGTTTAATTGCACTCATACTACAGCAGCCAGCAGTCCGTTCATCTTTACCACCTAGACAATAGATGAGCTGAATTTATTGGCACTCATACTACAGTAGCCAGCAGTCCGTTCGTCTTTACCCCCTAGACAATAGATTAGCTGGGTTTAACAGTGATCTCGTAGATCCTCTAGTTTTGTATTTTAAGCACAAGTATGGAGGATTAAAATTAAAAGAATATAAAAATAATTCAGAATATTATTGTTAATTTGAGGAAATATATCTGTTCCTATTCATTTACAATCCCTTTAAGCATCGTGGTATTCTGAGGAAATTCTATTCAGTGCCTGCATATTTTCATACATACATAATTAATGCTGGGTGCAGTAACAACATGAAAACAGAAACTTTATTCATCTGTGGAAAACGTTTAATCATTTGATTTATCTTGACAGTATTTATTGTTCAATTTTAATTTTTTTTTAACTTTTTGAACCTTTTTTCCAGAAATTCACTGATTAAAATAAAAGTATTTTAAAACCCAAGTTTGCTTAAAGGAAGTGTTTAAGATTTAGTCATAAATCCTTATCTAATATTAGAAACAGTTCAAATACAAGTAATAACGAGAACACAGAAATGTGTACAAAATATTTTCTTTGTCATTTCCGCTAAAATCACAAGTTTTGATAAGGTTCAGATGGTCTGTTGAAATTTAAGTTTTTATAAACTTTTGAAATATGTACCTGCACTCTCCTCATAGTGGTAACTGTGGCCTACAAATTATGAAAAAATAAATATTGATATTTTGTATTTTGAAAATATTTTGATCAGCTGTAGGTATGAAGGAAGTTTTTCAGGAAGTTTTTCATCTTTAAATATATTTTAACGTATTTTACAGCATAAAGTACTGATCTCTGTTTTATATCTAATCTAAGATTGGGTGAATCAGTCTGTATGATGTTTTATCTATGGTTGAAAATATAATTCCTCCGTTTGATATATAATCTTTGGTCAAGTAGTTGAGTTAGTCTCAGTATGATTTTTAATCTATATACAGTATGTAAGTTAGTCTGAGCATGATGATTAATCTTTAGGTGAGTAACTGAGTTAGTCGGTGTTTGATATTTAATCCATGGCTGAATATTTAAATTAGTCTGTAATTGATATTAAATCTATGGTTCTATCTATATAATCAATATAAGTTTGAGTCTGTAAAAATCAGTCTATCTGATAATTAATCTATGAGTTACCCTGTGAATTTAACGAGTTCTATGATATAAGATAGATCTCTCTGAACCCTTTGTTTACGACTTGAAACTTTGTTTAAAACCCAGCAGGGAAGTGAGGGGGGAGGATTGGGCAGGATTTATCCATTTGGTTCAATAAATACTAGTTTAGGATAACCATGTAATTAACCATGTAATTAACCATGTAGTTATGATGCAAACTAAAAATCTTAATCCCATTGTGTTAGTGGATAAGGGAGTGCTATTTTATTGAATAACCCTCTGTATTACAATATGCATGATTTATGAATACCCCTGTATTCCAAGTTGTATTAATTGCCCCCGCCCCCTGTATTCCGAGGTGCATGAATAATAAACCCCCTGTATTTCAAGATGCATGAATAATGAACCCCCCTGTATTCCAAGATGCATGAATAATGAACCCCCTGTATTCCAAGGTGCATGAATAATAAACCCCCTGTATTCCAAGGTGCATGAATAATAAACCCCCTGTATTTCAAGATGCATGAATAATGAACCCCCTGTATTCCAAGGTGCATGAATAATGAACCCCCTGTATTCCAAGGTGTATGAAAAATGAACCTTCCTGTATTCCAAGGTGCATGAATAGTGAACCCCCTGTATTCCAAGGTGCATGAATAATGAACCCCCTGTATTCCAAGGTGCATGAATAGTGAACCCCCCCCCCCAGTCATTTCGAAGTGCATAAATAATAAGTCCCCTGTATTCTAAGGAGCATGAAAAATTAAACCCCCTGTATTCCAAAGTGAATGAAAATGAATGTACATACCTGGTGATGATGGTTCAGATTTTGGATTAGATTTCATCTCCCTAAAATATAAATACTATCTATTAAAACAATATTTATTTATATATATGTATATAAATATTTACAAGCTATGTTCGATGTCTTTACGGTTTTATATTTGGTACTTAAGAAACTTATTTAAGTATCTTTAATTCTTTTAATAGGTGGGATTTTAATAACATCATTAAAAATATGGTAATGTAGCGATAAATAAAGGACCAAACAAACGAATTGAGGTAAATATTTTATATCAAATATATTTGGTTTGGTTAGTTGAGCTTCATGACTGGAAGAAGATATCTACGGATCTAAACAGGAGTCCCCCCAGCATCGAGGTAATGAACTAGATGAGGAACTTGATGCTTATTTCGAAATTCTCTTAATGGGTTCCGACAAACTAGGAGAGTGGTAGAATGCTGAGGTGAGAAACGAATTCATTTCTCTTCATCCTCATGGCTCTCTGGAGAGGTATTGGAGAGTCTGGAGTCAACAAAGCCAGAGTCAACAGAGCTGGAGACAAAGGAGTTCGGATCAACAGTGTAGGAGCCAACGAAGGTCTTCCATTTTAGGGAGGTTGTTGAGAGATTACAGGTTGATCAAAGAAAACAGGTTTAAGCCGGTCCACGGTAACGGAGTCAGACTTGGAACCTATTTGAATTTGGAAATACTTCGGATTTTGGGAGAGAACTAGGTAGGGTCCTCTGTACAGCGGAAAAATAATTGGTTTAGATGAATCTTCCCTGATGAAAACATGTGAATAGGATGTTAAACTGGAAGGAATCTGATCTGGTTTTAGGACTGGAACTGCAGAATGATGAGAAAGAACTGTTGTGTTGTTCTTTTGGATTTATTGGATACTCCGACGCTGGCAGCTCCAGACTATCCAGAAACTCTCTGGGTAGAACCAGCGGAGAACCAAAAAGAGCTTTGGAGTGGAGAAAGCAGAATCCTCTCTAGGAAAACTCCAGAGACCAAGTAACACCAGGGGTAGATGATTGAACCAGTCTGTTCCAGACGATCGAGCTCTCAGAGACACTTAATATGACAAAGGTGGAACCTCTCCACCAAGCCATTGGACTGTGGAAAGATGTGGTTGGAGAGTGTGTGATTCCAAGGAACCAGCAGTGATTAATCCAGATAGAGCTTGTGAACTGTGCTCCATGATCTGAGGTGATCACAGATGGAATTCCAAAGGTTGGGATCCAGGACCAAGAGTAAAACCTTGGCACATTCTTCTGCTGTTGTAGACTGGAGAGGAATTGCTTCAGGCCATCTACTTGTTCTATCAACTATGGTAAACAGGAATGTATGTCCACAGGATTGAGGAAGAGGACCAACCAGATCTATGTGAATATGTATAAGAAAATCTGTCCAGGAACCGGTATCTGTTGGATGGGAGACTTGATATGGGTTTGAATCTTGCTCTGTTGGCAATCTAGACAGGACTGAGACCATAAATTGACATCTTTGGAGAGCCTTCCCAAACAAAACTTCTTGAAATTAGTCTTCTAGAAGTTCTAGAAGTGTATAGATCTGAACTGTAGTTGGATGAGTTAGATGAAATGGCGGGTATAGATTCAAGGCTTGAGGAGTCAAGTAGGCGGGAACCTGCAACATCGACCAGGAGATGGTTGTAGCATAGGAAATCTGAACCCAGGATTGGCATAGAATGGCAGGAATCATAAGTGTTCATAGGGGAACTGTCAATGGTTCTCATTGGATACCAGAACCTGAAGCTGAAGGTGAGCAGGGTAGGCGAGGGAAAACAGACACGCATTCTCCTGTATCCACAAGGAACTTGGCGGAACTCAGCTGTTCTTGAGGAACAACAGGGGTGAGGACGAAGATTCAACAAGGTGATCTGTACTTGTTAGCCTGGTTTCCCCATTTGCGATGGTACCAACACTCTGATGATGAAGAGGAGGATGTTGATGAACCTGGACTGCTGGTTCTATTGGGACTAGAAGAGGCTTTTGTTCTGGAACCTTGAGACATGAGAAATAAATCTTCAGCATTCCTGAGATCCTAAGAAGAGAGGAATTGCAATGTGTTAACTCTTCCTCATACTGTCCAGAGCTCATCTGCTCCGTTAGCCATTCCTCTAGGATCAGCAATCAACTCTGTCAGGAGATGGGAACAAATATCTGCAGATGATCCATAAAAAGTCCTAAGAAGAAGAAACCTGGCTTCTCGTCTTCAGGGAGGAGAACCAACATCTTATCAATCAGCTCCAATGGTCTCTGATCTGTTAGAACTGGGATACTCTGGAAGGCCTGGTACCTTGCTCATGGTATACATTTAAACAAAGTGGGATCTCAGGGTCTCGTAGGGTTCTGCTGGAGGACTGTGAACCAAATTTATAAGGCAAGTGACAATATCCTGGGGCAGGGATGCAACTCAGTGATGAAACTTTGTTAGGGAGGTCGTCATGTGTTTGATTGCAAACTGTGACTCGGCCTGGAAGAACCATACCTCTGGATAATCAGTCTAGAATGTGGTCAACTTGATGAAGAGGGTTGTGAGGTAGACCTGGCATGAGGGTGAGAAGGAACCTCATCTGTGGTCGATATCGCTACGTTTGTCGAAAAAGAGACAGAACGTCTTGATCATCGGAAATCCTACTTTGGTATTTGAGTATAAAAAGAGCAGGGACTTGGTAGAAACCAATTTCAGCTACCTCAACAAGAGGAATTATTTCCGAAAAAAAATATCACACTGGGGTTACCAAAATGTAGTGACAAATAAAGGACCAAATAAACGAACTGAGTTTTATATTTTATCTAACTTACATCATGGTTTTTAAGTACTATATCAAATGAATTTGGATTGGTTATGTGAGGTTAGATGATATCTACGGACAGGGGCGGATACAGGATTTAAGTGAGGGGGGGCAAGATTTTTTAGGAACAAAAAAATTAATATTTAGAAACAAAAAATCGTGCCACAGGCGAAATTTTTTTATGACTTAAAAGGCTCAAAAAGAGTCGAAATTAATGTCTAAAGACAAAAAAACTAGATTTTTAACTTTAAGGAACAAAATTAACGGATTAGGACAGGAATTTAGGAACAATTAAAAGATTGTTCAGGAATTAGGAACAAAAATAAATGGATTGGGACAGGGATTTAGGAACAATAAAAAGATTGTTCAGGAATTAGGAACAAAAATAATGGATTAGGACAGGGATTAAGGAACAATAAAAAGATTGTTCAGGAATTAGGAACAAAAATATTGGATTAGGACAGGGATTTAAGTTGGGTCGGACACAGTATTAGGAACAGGAACAATAATAGGAACATTAGCAATTTAAAAACAAAAAGAAATTACTAGTTATACTTAAATGCATCAAAATTAGGACCAATATTACAATTTTGATAAATGAGTATTGATTAAGGAACATTACTAGATATGAACAATATTATAACTTAAGTCTAGTTTCTTACAAATTTCTAATTCTAAATTTATCGTTAACAATAACATTTACTTGTTGTCGTTGATTTTTAAATTAAACTGAAGAAAAGAAAGTCAAGATTTCCATTAAATAAAAAAAGCTTGAAATTGAAAAACACATACGATTTATAAAATTGGGAACATTTTTTGCCTCGAAATCTCAGGGAGGGACTACGCCCCTCCCTGAATCTGTCAGGGGGTGGCGAATATCCCCCCGCCACCCCCCTGTATCCGCCCCTGTCTACGGATCCCACAGTAAAATACTTTGCCATTTCCCATTTTTACAATTTTTTCACAATTTTTGACAACTATAAAGAAGTGTCTAATATGAAAATATAAACTTGTAATCAAAATTTGGCAGTAAAAATTTGAAAGCACCCAAATCATAATGACAAAAAAATCGAATGTATTTTACAAAAAATCGCTTATTCTTATTTTGGAGCAAAAATTGGATGACGGCCAAATAAGCGACTTTTTGTTGAATATAAAAGCTACATTTTTGCTAAAAATTAGTTGTTTCTTTCTATCTAAATTTCGAGTGCACTTACCTGTGTCTCAGGGTTGGAGTAGGATGACAGGAAAGGCTGCTGAACCTCTCCTCTCCTGAGAGCATTCTATCCAAGGACCCGGAGGTTCGAGAAGACCTCGAGGCTGACCTGTCCAGGGTAGAGGCTGCCGAGGTTGAGGAGACGTTGGATCTCTCCAAACTAGAGAGTTGAGAGAGTACAGAGATACGATCCAAACCTAGATTAAAATGTACTTTTCCAACCATAAACTACTAAGTCACCCACAACGGATATGACTCTAATGACGACCTTAAACTCTAAAATTATAATGATCTAAATGTTGTTACTTGCCATGAATATGTTTTTGTAAAGAAGCAAACAATAATTCTGATTTTGCATTAAGCCAATTTATGTAAATTCTGTAGTCGTCTCTAAAGTCTCATTTTTTCTGGGTAACCCTGTATCAAGTATTTTTGAGGCCATATAAGTTACAACATCCAAAATAACTTTTTTCATAATGATTAATTCCTGAAAATAATTTCCCAAGTAAAATACATTATATTAAATCTGGCAACAAATCAGCATCATTGGAGTACCATCTGAGACCCCTTATATCGGAGTCCCCCCCCCCTGCTACTTTTAGACGTACCCCCCGATTTTCATTGTAGACCCTAAGGATTCAACATTAATAACAAAAGTTCCATTGGAGACCCCTGAAAGTCATCGTAAGCCACACGGACAAATTGAATCTTCTCTTCGATAAAAATTTAGGGTTTCCTACAGCAATGTTTCTTTAAAAATCAGTCTAGAATAGAAAAAAAGGGTCTACAGAAAAATCTTGGCATTCTCTGAAGAAAATACCTAACCTGCTACTTTTCTAGCCTCCTACTTTTCTACCCTCCTACTTTTCTACCCACCTACTTTTCTACCCTCCTAATTTTCTACCCTCCTACTTTTCTACCCACCTAATTTTCTACCCTCCTAATTTTCTACCCTCCTACTTTTCTACCCTCCTACTTTTCTACCCTCCTACTTTTCTACTCTCCTAATTTTCTACCCTTCTACCCTCCTACCCTCCTACCTGATATAAGACTGAACCTATCCATATCCTGTGTTGGATCTGAACTAGAGGATACGGATCCTCCTCTAGATCTCCTACTCCGGGTAGGGGTGGAGTGCATCCTACATCCTCCAGGAGCTGGAGCACAACTAGTTCTAAACGTCTGTACTCCTCCTTCTCCTCCTCCTCCTCCTACTGTGTCCAGCTCCTGACTGTAACTATGCTTTCGAGGATGTTTATACAGCTGTGGAGGTTGTTGTGGAGGCTGTTGAGGTAGTTGTTGCAGGTGGTGGAGTTGATGGGGAGGATAATGATGATGTTGAGGTTGAGGAAGCTGTTGATGAATATGATGAAGAGATTGATATTGAAGATGTAATTCCTTCACACAGTTAGGACTTTAATTTCTATACTAATACATTTCATAAAGTATAGTCCTTTTTTTAAAGTGACATTTTTGACATGATATTTTCCTACGGTGTAATAACAGTTAATTTATCAAAGGGAGTGTTCGTGAAAATGAAAAGGGGGTGTTAAATTTAATATTTTTTTATTTGAGATAATATATGGAATAATTGTTTTATTAGATGGATCATCTCAAAAAAACTTAAATTTGAAAAATCACATTTGAAAATTCCACACTTGGTTTAAAGATATTAAAGAATATATAAAATCTTTTTCCTGAAATTGTTGATGAAGCCTGGCATATTCTAAGGAGGGAACATAAAGCCCTGAAATAAGATCATAATTTAATTTGTTACAACTTAACTCTAAAATTGATTGATTTTTTACAACTTAACTCTAGAATTGATTGATTTTTTGGTCTTGATGAGACTGTCGTGTAATTTCATCTAAAGATGAACATGTCCGATTAATTATGGTACTCTAGTGCAATGATGTTAAATTGACATATTTTTTAGGTTCAAAAGTGTTTGATTCTATTAATTCCTACATTTGTTTTTCTGCAGTACAAATTCGCAGATCAATTTTTAAAAAGAAAACAATAGTTTGTGAAGTTGTAAACATAGATGTCTACTTTATTCTAAATAAAAAAAAAACGATCAATAAAAAAGGTCAAGCATTTGAATTTTCTGTTATTGAAAAAACTTTGACAAAATAAGATTTTTAAATTCAGATTCTTGAGGAACACCTAAAATCATGCTAAAAACCTTAAAATGTTTTTAAAAGAAAACAGTGCTGTCCGTAGGACTGTATTTTAAAGCTGTATAATGTAGGTTTTGTGATCATGTGACACACAAAACATAATAGTTTCTTGATGTAATCCACTATCAGACAAGTTGATCTGATTTTAATGCCGCGTAGTAATGTGTACATCAGTTTCAAATTGCAATATCGCACAATATATCAAAATTCTAAGATAACGATAAAACATTTAACAAAAATTAAAACACTACAAATAATTTTTCTTTAATTCATACCTTTCGATGTTCACAATTGTAAACAGTGTCTTATGACGATTCTTAACGTTACTCATAACGAAAAACCCATTGTTTTATGGGACTGTTAGCGTAATTTCAAGGAACCCTGTATGCAAAGATAGCAATTCCCGATTCACAACGATACCCTTGAAACCTTAACCGGATCAATATAGTGGAAGATATTGACGGATTTCTATTTATGATTTATTTATTTATTTATTTATTTATTTATTTATGATAACTCCCATATGTTTTACTACAGCAAAAATCACCTGCACGATTAAAAATGATCAGTTTTCAAAATTATAAACATTGATATATAATTCATACTTCACCAGATAAAACTTTTAAGGGTACCGTTGTGAATCAAGCATTGCTATCTTTGCATGGAAGGTTACTTAAAATTACGCTTACAGTTCTTTTAATTATACATCATAAGTTAGGGAAATTGACTCAAGAACTCATAATAAATATATTACTTCTAAAAGAAAAGATAGTGCTCTTCGTAAAATTATGCATATTTTCTTTGATTTAATTCTAATACTTGAATTCCCTGCTATGTATGTATATAGGATAAGATTAAACGAAAGTTATAAATTAGCATATTAATAGTTTTCTGATTTAGCAGAACTTCAAATCAAATTAAGAAGTTAAGTATGAAAGTTTAACTTAGATTCGTGCATACTGATTGGACTAAAATTATAAATATTGTTTAATTAGAAATTGTTTTTCTTTCATCGTATTGTGATATGATACTCTTGGAAAAAATGTCCGAGAAAATGCTGAGTAAATCTCCGATTTTTTTTGTAATTTTCTTGTATCTATATTTTTCACGGACCATAATGTCCTATCTATGTAATGTCATTGTCCTATATATGCAATATTATTGTCCTATCTCTTTATTATCATTGTCCTATCTATGTGATATTACGATCCTGTCTAAGTGATATTACTATCCTGTCTAAATGATATTATTGTTCTATCTATGAAATATTATTGATCCTATATAGTGTTCTGTCTAAGTAATATTATTGATCCTATATAGTGGTCTATCTATGTAATATTATTGTCCTTGTCCTAAATATGTAATATTTTTGTCCTATCTATGCAATCTGTATCTGTATATTTGTATCCTCAGGGAATAAATAAATGTAATATAATCTCTTCTGAGCAATTAATTTCAAGAATAAGAATCTTGGCAGAAGTCATTCAGTCCTCTGCACCATATTCTGCAGATTATATACAGACCATATTCTGCAGATTATATACAGACCATATTCTGCAGATTATATACAGATTATTAATGGACCTCTTTAGATAAGAGTTGGCTTGGCAGTTGCATTTATTTCGCTCATCTATCTTCATCATAACATCAGATTTATTCAAATATTCTGGGACAAGATTTAATAAATAATAGAACCTCTTAAGCGTGACCCGGTCATTCTACACTATTCCTTCGGCCAGGATACTGCAGATCGCTGCAGTACACACCGGAAGCTTAGTTTATGGTTGAACCAGCGGTATGTAGTTTAACTATTACTTGCTATTCATAAAATCTAGCCCATGGACGAGTTTTCTATCTTTTTTTTAGTTACTATTTTTTTTATTAATGTACACAACTACCATGGTTAATTCACATTCACAACGAAACCCTTTAAACCTTTACTTGAGTAATATTAAGGAAGATATCGTTGTTTTCCTGAGAAAGTGTATGTGATCAATCTTTGTATCTGTTATATAAATCCTCAAACACACAATGTAAACAGTCAATTTTTAAACGGAAAAACAAGAATCCTTGATCGGACGAAGGTTTAAATGGCACCATTGTGAATCGTTATGTACCCTTTTGTATAGAGTCCTTTCAAAAATACGTTTATAAAATAATAGTAGCGGAGTTTTGAGGGGAGATTTTAAATTATGTAAAATTCGAAGCTTTAATATGTTTGGTTCAAAAATTAATAAATAACAAAAAATGTATCAAACCAAAAATACGCTTTTTATTCTAAACTTTCATTTTGTTCCTTCTCCTTTGGGAAACTTGATTTAAGTTTATCATTTTGTTTTTGAATAATTTTAACCACGAGCAGTTTTAAGAAACCTCCCGCTTTAAAATGTGTTAAAATATCATAACAAAGTTGAAAGTTTCAATTCCTCTAAAAGATTAATAATTTAAACTTATTGTCAAATTGTTTTGGTTTCGCTAGAAACCATTTCTGGGAATAAATAATGAATTTGTAAATGTTTTTTTCTCGCTATTTTTGAATGACTTTATTAATAGAAGTTAGAAGTTATAAGCGTTCTTAAAGAAGTTTCAGGATTAAGACTTCAGGATTTGGTCACACTATAGTTTCATGTAGTAGTAAATATGTCAATTTAGTGTATAGCGCCGATATAAGAATTTATCTCTAATTGGATAATGAGCTAGATAAAAAGATAGATGTTACCACCATACTATTTCTATTGGTTTAGAATAGACTCCAAACACATGACTGAACCCTGATTGGATCAGGCGCTAATGGATCGGCATACAAGAGTGCTGTTTGGAAAACTAGTTTTCTCAATTAAACCAGCTTAAAAAAAACTAATGAAAACTATATTTAGATCGAGTATCTTTTAGGTCACTATGGAATTGAGTGTTTGCCATAAAATAAAGTTTTCTATAATTCCTTTATCTTTTCAACTTTATGGCTTAGATTAATTGATCTCAGAGAAATCATAGTTTAAAATATCTCATATCTACGACATTGGGTTCCAAAGACATCAAGGGATCAGAGTTTGTGGCAAAGAATCAATTCATTCTTGCGAACTGAATGATTTTCACCTGTCTGTATATAATGAAAGTTGTAATCCTACCCCTTTTCCCTGGCGTGATATATTCCTTGATGCGGATGTGCATGAAGATAGAGAATTGCAAGTTGCAAGGTTTCAAATGCATTTTGCTTTCTCTGAATCCCCCGGACTTGGCTTGCAGTACTAATCAGTTCCCAGGTTCTTAGTTAATTGCATTTTAATCGGTCAGCTCATCATATAGGATATTGATTAACACTTAGTTAACATATCAAATATTAAGATAGATAGATAGATGGATAAGTAGATAGAAATAGATATAGATAGATAGATAGATAGATAGATAGATAGGATATTGATTAACACTTAGTTAACATATCAAATATTTAGATAGATAGATAGATAGATGGATAAGTAGATAGAAATAGATATAGATAGATAGATAGAAGATAGATAGATAGATAGATAGATAGATAGATAGATAGATAGATAAATAGATAGCTAGATAAATAGATATATATATAAATAGCTATAGATATATAGATAGATAAATAGATAGATAGATAGCTAGATAAAAAGATATATAGACATGTATAGATAGATATATAGATAGATAGATAGGTAAATAGATAGATAGATAGTTGTATTTTTTTGTTTTCAGGCCAAGCTGGGACCCCAAGCAGGTATAAATATAGTCTTATGATATAAATAAATGTAGATACAGATGTCGAATATAGATATATCTAACATATATATATTTAATGTATGTATTTACTTTTATCAAGTTATTCTTTGAATATATTCCTGAATTAATATTTATAGAACTAGCTGCAAGGCCCGGAGTTGCCCGTAAAAATTCTAAAAAGAAATGTGGAGAAAATAAAATTCACATTTTTTTTAGTCTATTACATGAGTGTCCAAAAAAGTTTCAGCCCATTCGGTCCAGCCGTTTGGCCGGCTAGGCAACATATATATATATACGAATGTCTTGTTTTATTATATAGATAATGCATATATAAATACATCCTGGAGGATAATTTTTCTTAAATTTTTCTTATATATTGCTTACAAATTGTACATCATTGATTTTAAATTTTTTTCGTTCAAAGGGTTAAATAAAAATCCAAAAAACGTTGAATATCTTTGATTTAATAAAATTTTTAAAAAATGAATTACCACCTTAAGGAATTTATCTATTTATTATTTATTTCACTGAATTTGACCAGATAAACTTTCCTGGAATTATCTCTCCGTCTTTCAGAACAATCGTTGTCTTGGTGAAGTCTCTGCTCCGCCCCGCTAGTATCCGCCCCCCGCCCCCTCCAGTAGGGTTGTCTAGGATGAGTATCCGGAGTATGGTTACGTCTTCCTGGAGATCTGAATTAAGAATCCTTCATCAAAACCTGCTCTTTCTCAGGGTATAAAGTTCATGGGTATATTTATACTCACATAGAACGAGGGAATTAAAAACTCATTTAACAAAGAAACCCATGAAAATTTAGAACTAAAAAAAATCATTTTTTGGCGCTTCACATAAATCCATATTGTT